TTACTCACCATTTTGGGGCTCCTGTGGGTTGTGTGCGCTCGCTTTGGGATGGGCAATTTCTGCTATTGTGTAGACTGTATTGTCTTTAAATAGAGGCCAAATAATTGCTCTGTCTAGTGTGAACAGTGCTGCCTCTGTTAAGTGTTGCATTTTGGCTTTACAAATGCAACCTTGAGATCCCAGCCGTCCTTGTTATCGACTGCCGAAAGACTCCAGAGAATCAGGAAGCATCCGCAAAGAACCAGAGAGGACCTGTTGCATGAAGTCATGCAGCACTCCCTAACTGAAAATCAAAAAGTACAGGAGTGGCGGAAGACTGAAAGGAGGCTCCGCCAGCAGAATGCAGATCGCCGGCACCAAAGCACGGAGCGGCCCATAAGCATTATGGAGCACCAAGCAGACTCGATACAGGCGCTCCTAGCACTGCAGACGGAGCAGATCCGCCCCCGTCCCCCCCTTGCAGCCCTTGTCCCAAAACTCTTTCCCTTGTGCCCCCATGTCACCACCAACCCATTTCCCCCAACATCCGGTTTCTTACCGCCACCAGCTGTCTCCAACACTTGTAGCTTCACCACCCAGCCGTGCAAACGATGGCCCTTACCCACTGCACTCAACCCCCATCACCGTGCATTTTAGTCAGTCTGAAGTGAAGCACTCACTGCGCGGCACTCCAGACAAGAAGGCTGAATATAATAATAGGATATATGCAAATCTGTGATTGTCCCGTTCCCCACCCTGCCCCGCCCCACCCCCTTCCCTCCTCCCACACAGCACAGATTTTTTTGGCTTTGAAAACATTCTTTATTGCATTAAGTAAAAGATACTGTATCCCAGGAAAGCAACAGGCACTGCAAGTCAGTGCATCATACGTAGCTGTAGCGGGGTGAACACCTGCTCCAGCCCTGAAGGGGTTGGAAAAGCCCTGCAGAGGGCTGGGGCTGTGTAGAGTAGCAAAACCCCGGCTGATTGGGGAAGTGGCTGCAGCTGGGGCCATGCCCCAAACTGAGCCTGATAAGAAGGCCAGGGCAGCCAGAAGCTGAGGAGTCTCTCTCTGACAGGAGAGAGAGACAGGCCAGGCGGCAGGGAGCTCACCCGGGGACCTAGAGTGAGGCAGGGCTGGGGAAAGGCCTTGGGAGCTGAGAAGCCCTAGGCCAGCAACTCCCCAGGCTGCAGGGCCTGGCCCTAGGCCCACACAGGTATTGGGGTTGCAGAGGGGCAGCCTGAGGGTGGGTAAATCAGCCAGTCCAAACCCCTTGTTGCCAATGACAGACTGCAGTCTGCCCCAGGGCGCGGGGGCTAGATGGTGACTGGCAGTAGCCACGGCTGAGGTGACATTGGGATAGGGGGTGGGGGTTCCCCTGGCTGGGGAGACCCAGAGAGAGTGGGGTACTGCCAGGGGGGCAGCACCCAAGCCAAGGGCACTGGGGTCCGGGAGGGACACGGGGGGCCGACGACAGGCCGGACACCTGGCCTGCAGAGGGCGCTCCGGATGCTGGATTGAGCTAATTCCCGAGACGACCAGTAGGAGGCGCCGCAGGGGTGAGTCCAACGCCTGATTACAGTAGCAGACACAGATGCCTACTAGCATTGGAACCACTGCACTTCACTCCTGTGCAGGACACCAAACATTACTGGTGGCTTTCAGCTTCAGATTGCTCCCTCAAGGCATCCCTAATCTTTGCAGCCCCGCGCTGGGCTCCTCTCATAGCCCTGCTCTCTGGCTGTTCAAATTCAGCCTCCAGGTGTTGAACCTCCATGGTCCATGCCTGAGTGAAGCTTTCACCCTTCCCTTAACAAATGTTATAGAGGGTACAGCACGCGGATATAACCGTGGGGATGTTGTCATCGGCCAGGTCCAGCTTCCCATACAGACTGCACCAGCGGCCCTTTAAACGGCCAAAAGCACACTCCACAGTCATTCTGCACCGACTCAGCCTATTGTTGAACCGTTCCTTGCTGCTGTCAAGGCTCCCTGTGTAGAGTTTCATGAGCCATGGCATTAAGGGGTAAGAGGAGTTTCCAAGGATCACAATGGACATTTTGACTTCCCCTACGGTGATCTTCTGGTCTGGGAAGAAAGTCCCGGCTTGCAGCTTCCTGAACAGGCCTGTGATCCGAAAGATTCGTGCGTCCTTCACCTTTCCGGACCAGCCTGCGTTAAAGTCAATGAAACACCTACGGTGATCCACAAGCACTCGGAGAAGCATAGCGAAATACCCCTTCCGATTTATGTACTTGGAGGCTAGGTGGTCTGGTGCCAGAATTGGAATATGCATCCCATCTATTGCCCCTCCGCAGTTAGGGAAACCCATTTGTGCAAAGCCAGCCACAATGTCATGTACGTTACCCAGAGTCACAGTTCTTCTGAGCAAGATGCAATTAATGGCCCTGCAAACTTGCATCAACACGATTCCAATGGTCGACTTTCCCACTCCAAACTGGTTAGCGACTGATCGGTAGCTGTCCAGATTGCAATAGCCACCCGCTTCTCCACCGGCAGGGCAGCTCTCAATCTCGTATCCTTGTACTGCAGGGTGGGGGTGAGCTCAGCACACAGTCCCATGGAAGTGGCTTTCCTCATCTGAAAGTTCTGCAGCCACTGCTCGTCATCCCAGACTTGCATGACAATGTGATCCCACCATTCAGTGCTTGTTTCCTGAGCCCAAAAGCGGCGTTCCACTGCAGTGAGCATGTCCGTGAATGCCACAAGCAATCTTGTGTCGTAAGCGTTATGCGAGTCAACATCATCGTCAGACTCCTCACTGTCAGTTTGTAGTTTAAGGAGTAACTTGACTGCAATTTGTGATGTGCTGGCGAGACCTATCAGCATATTCCTAAGCAGTTCGGGATCCATTTCCGCAGACCGAAAAGGAAGACAGCGCGCGCAGTATAAAAACCATTGAAAAATGGCGCCAAATGTGGACAGAAGCACAGGGATTGCTGGGATGTGAAGCGATGCATCACGGGACGTTGGGACAGGACCCAGAATGCCCCACACGCACCCACCCGTCCCTTTCCCACAAGCCACAGCGCAAGAATGAGAAGAGGCGCTCTGTGGGATAGCTGCCCATAATGCATTGCTCCTAATGCCGCTGCAAGTGCCACAAATGTGGCTACACCACTGCACTTGCAGCTGACAGTGTGAACACACAGCAGCGGTTTCCTTTCTGCGGTCTCCAGGGGCTGGTTTAACTCATAGTGCTCTACATCTGCAAGTGTAGCCATGCCCTGAGAGAAGGGTTTGAAAGTCTTTGGCCCCTATCAGAGAGTCCCATGTGCTAGATGAGAATCCTTTGGGATAAGTGTAACATGGTCAGACTTTTGACTGGTTTGGTTTATGGTAACTTTTCTCTGTCAGGCTTTTGTCCTTAATGTTCTCTGCTTTGGAAGAGCTGTTTGGTTTCTGGTAGCCGCTGGCGCACACTGTTCATAGGCCTGGGAGTGAAAGCAAAGCGCAGGTGCTGGGCTTTGGTCAGGCCAGCTGGGAAAACCACAGTGAATTGCAAAGGGGCTGCAAGTCTAAAATCCCAGTGTGGAGGAGAGGGCCATGGGTCCCTGACTCCCAGCCCAGAGAGAGGTGACGGCTGGAGGCCTGAGACCTAAGGGGACATTCCTTGAGCAGACCCAGCGGGAGTCAGAGGTGCAGTTACCCCAAGCCTGTGACTCTCTGCACTCATAGACATATCTAGGGTACGGCCTGGATACTTGGTGTTCACTTCTAACGCAGGGCGCTCTCTTACTGTGTGTCTTACTGCTCGGGTTAATGCTGCGCCCAGCCCCTCGCTGATTTAACTTCCATTGTTCATTGTACATTTCACAGCACAGTTCACAGTGACTGGACCTGACCGTCCAATCGCCGCCTCCCTAGGGGGTGAGGCCGTCCTGTCCTGCCACCTCTCCCCCAGGATGAGCGCTGAGACCATGGAGGTAAGATGGTTCCGATCCCAGTATTCGCCAGTGGTGCACCTGTACTGTGATGGGCAGGATCAGTACAGACAGCAGATGCCGGAATATGGAGGGAGAACTGAGCTCTCGAAAGACGACCTCACCAATGGGAGAGTTTCCCTGAGAATACGCGATATCCGACCTTCCGATGATGGGCAGTACACGTGTCTTTTTCAGTCCGGTGACTCTTCTGAAGAAGCTTTATTGGAACTACAAGTGGCAGGTCAGTAACTTCTTCTGATACCTTAACGTCTTCATCGGGGTAAGAAGTAGAGTCAGAGGGGTCATTGTGAGATGGCACCTGATTTTTTCTCATTATAGTGGGTCGGTAACTCTGCTGTGGTTAAGGTCTATTCTAGTTCACTGTGTTTAACAGCTGGAACCAAACCAATACTGGCTAGTACTGTTTAAAAGGAACAGCAAGAGAAGCATGGGGGGTGGGGTGGGGAATTACATATAATTTTCACCTTAGACCTTTAACCTCAGTTCCTGTCTGTGGCTCTTGGGCATTTCCTGTGAGTCTGTCGGACCAAAGCCCTGTGAGTCACACCCCTGCTGGGAGATGACTCGTAGCCTGTGCTCTTCTGGTCAAGAATCCCACTCGGGGAAGGCTCCAGACACTCGTCCCGTCTCTGTCTCTCTTTGGTTCTTTCCCCTCTCTAGGCTGATCTGTGACATTTCCAAACAGCCTAAGGGCCTCTCTGCCCACAGACTGACCCCGCAATATAAAATCCGTTTGAATTCGCACCTTTGGCTAAAGTACAAGACTCTTGTGTCAGTTAAGATAATTTGGTTTCAGTTTAGCTTGTCAGTAATAACCCCCCACGTGTGATCTGGTGTGGGAAGTGTGTGACCTTAACCCTGCAGTTCCTTGTTGAGTGTTTGGGTTTCTGTTTTGCTGAGCGTGTTTCCTGGCTTTCAGAGGTACCCAAGGGAGCTGGAACAATGTGTATAGTGGGGGGTGCTGAGAGCCATTGAACTAAACTGTAAATCCTGGAGGTGATGGACCCACTTCCAGCCAGGGATGCAGCAGCACCACCAGTCCCAGCTCTTATGGAGGTACCAGTTTTCTGCTACCCACGTCTGCATTCTGCAAGGGTACAAGGCCCTGTCAAGGCAACCCGAACTCCCCTGTAACAAGGTTTTTTATTAGCGAATTAATTTAGGGCTTGTCTACACGTACATGTGCACTGGTTTCAATGAACTAGTGCAAACCTCTGTGTGGACACTTACATGGGTTTGGAAATGGCTTATATTGATTTAGCTTGAGTCAATTCCTTCCTGATTTCAGAGTGTCCAAACCAGGGATTTGCCCTTGATTAACTAAATCAGTTTAGCTAAATTGGAGCAAGTTGGTGCATAGAAAAGTCCTGACATTAACTTTACTTACTATATATCAAATAAGAATCTGACCAGATTAACTGACCAGCCACACTCATGGACTCACATTCAATTATTAGTTTAATAGGAAATGGCTTTTGATAACGCTGCAATAAAGCTTTTGGCTCATTACTGGGCACTGTAGGATTATCACAAGTTCATTTATTTTTTCTGTAGGTTTGGGCTCTGCTCCTGGCATCTCTGTGGAGGGACATCAGGACAGAGGGATCCGGGTGGTGTGTCGATCACCCGGATGGTACCCACAGCCCGAGGCTCAGTGGAGAGATCTCCAGGGGCAGCTCTTACCATCAGCCTCTGAAAACATATCCCGAGAGGCCGATGGCCTGTTTCAAGCAGAGATTGCTATTGTTCTAACAGAAGAGTCCAACCAGAAAGTGTCCTGCTGTGTCAGGAGCCCCCGACTCGACCAGGAGAGAGAGTCAGCGATTTCCATAGCAGGTCAGTGCCCGTCTGTGCCGCACATGGATGGACTGAGACGCTGCAGACGTGGGCAGAGAGTATTTATTATTGTGTCTCCTATGTATGGGCCTGGGCCTTCAAGGTGCTGAACAACCTCAGTTCTCTCGGGATACGTCTACACTGCAAATAAAAACACGTGGCTGGCCCATGTCAACTGACTCGGGCTAAGGGGCTAGGGCTGAGGGGCTGGTAAATTGCAGTGTAGATATTTGGGCTTGGGCTAAAGACCAGGCTCTAGGACCCTGTGCGGTGGGAGGGTCCCAGAGTCCGAGCTTCAGCCTGAGCCCGAACGTCTCCACTGCAATTAAACAGCCCCTTTGCCTGAGCCCAGTGAGGCTGAGTCAATTGGCCCAGGCCAGCTGCTGGTACTAATTACAGTGTAGATGTACCTTCAACTCCAGTAGGAGCTGAGGTGTTTAGCACCTTGCAGGCGGGGGCCGCCATTGGCCAGTTTTTCGTAACAGCTCAGTACCCAGCAATCTTCTCAGTGGGACTGGGGGAGGGAATTCTCCTTTGCTGTGGTGTAGTGAGGACTGTGATGGAATTGCAAGCTATCATTTTAAGAGAGGGGTATTTCCAGATCCTGTTTGCAGACCAGAGGGCTCCGTAGCAAAGCATGCAAGCAGAATCAGGGCTTGTCTATGGGAACAGTTAATTCACAGCAAGCTGGGGTGTCAGTCTGCCTCTCACTAGCTTGCCGCACACTAACTGTCTGTGTGGACCCTGCTACATGCAGCAACTACAGTAACTCCTCACTTAAAGTCGTCCTGGTTAACGTTTTTTCGTTGTTACGTTGCTGATCAATTCGGGAACATGCTGGTTTAAAGTTGTGTAATGCTCCCTTCTAACATCCTTTGGCAGCTGCCTACTTTGTCCACTGCTTGCAGGAAGAGCAGCCGGTTGCAGCTGGCTGGTAGGGGCTTGGAACCAGAGTAGACTGGCAGCCCCCCATCACCTCCCCGCTCCCCTAAGTTCCCTGTGCAGCAGCTGCCCAGCAGGCTACCAATTGCAGCTGTCCCTCCCCCCACTGCCATGTGCTGCTCCTGCCCTCTGCCTTGGAACTGCTCCCTGAGACTCCTGCTTGCTGTGCAGGGGGGAGAGGAGGAAGAGGGGGGCTAATGTCAGGGTGTTCCCCTCCTCCTGCACCTGCACCCCACTTACTCCATCTTCCATAGAGCAGGGGGGACACACCAGGGCTCAGGGCGGAAGGAGCTTGCAGCAGCTGCCTTCTCAGCAAGCTGATCTAGCTCAGTGGTTTGAGCATTGGCCTGCTAAACCCAGGGTTGTGAGTTCAATCCTTGAGGGGGCCCCTTAGGGTCCCTTCCAGTTCTATGAGATAGGTATATCAACGTTAAGTGCGGAGTTACTGTATTCCATAGTGCGCTTCGCTCTACCCTGCTTTGAAATTGGACCAGATCAAAGTGCACCAGGGAACTTTTAGTGCACGGCTGCAGGGTGCACACAGCCAGTCAGTGCGCGGCAGGCTACTGCAAGGTTGATTTACATCCCAGCCTGCCACGCACTAACTGTTCCCATAGACAAGCCAGTGTAAAGCAAGGTGGGCTGAGTTGTGCCCGCTGCCTTAGGGAGCTCCCCCTCTCTGTTGCGGGTTCTTGTGGGTTAAGGTTCTGGATTCTAAGGCATAAAGTCGTGTTACGCTGCAGCCTTCCAGGCAGAGTATTTCTGTTTGTGTCTCACTGCTCTCTGTGTGCTGTGACCATCGCGGTTCTCAGTGGGGTGGGGGAGGGAATTCTCCTTTGTTCTCAGTGAGAGCTGCTGGGTGCTCAGAGTTTATGAAAATTTGGATAATGAAGTATTTTTTTCCGAATAGCACAAGAGAGCTATTGGATGTGGTCTGAGCATCGCTACTTAGATGACACCTGAAACTCCCACATCAGTGTAAGGGCTGCGCTATGGGCCCCGTCCTGCAGTTCAGACTCTGGCAAAACTCCCGTCGCCTTAAATGAGAGCTCTGCCCGAGTCAAAGCTGAGGCTCAGGCTGTAACTTGTATTCAGTTGCACAGAGGCCATAAATGCAGAGCTCCATCGCCAGCATAACCCCACTCGCTCTGTGAATGTATGCTGTGGGTTTTCGTTTCGTAATCACACAATGGGCCTGATGCTGCCTTCCCTGCATAACCAAGTCGGTGGGAGCATTGGGAGTGCTAGTAATACAGGATGAGGCCCAAAATATTCAGGAGCAAACTCTTACCTAAGTGCAGCTTAATAATGCATAAAATCTGAAGTTTTTCTAAAAATTATCTAGCAAATAACTTAATACTGACTGAACATTTCATCTCTATAATAATAGTAAGGTTGTATTTGTAAAGCACTATTCATCTGAGATCTCACAGTGTTGACTAGCCTATGGTATGTTCAGTATTACGTGATCATTATGTTCACAGGACACACATGGAGAGTTAGAAACAAAACATAAACACTCTTCCTGGAAGGCTGCAATGTAACACTGCTTTGTTTTTGAGAATCCAGAACTCTAACACACCACAGCCAAATACAGAGAGGGAGAAAGCAGGCTGCTCCCTAAGGCAGAACTTAGCCTTCCTTGCTGTAGACTGGCTCTTTGGGGCCTCAGATTACATGCTCCCTACACAGCCTCCTAGCCTGCAAACAGCACCAAGAAACCCCTCAGGATTTAAAGTGGCAGCTTGTAATTGTTAGACAATGTTCAATATACCACACTAATCACTTAGGTTTGCTCTTGGTGCAGGGAGCAGGAATCTGGAGGAGTTTTTACTTTGAATTTCCAGGCTCAACTTTTGTTTGTATTAAAATCCTTCATTAACATATTTTGGGCCAGACTCTCTCGAGTAGCTGAGCCACGCTGAGCACAGGAGAATTGGGGGTGTCAGGAAACTGGTCACAACTCTCTGATTCTAAGGGCCAGTCTGTACTGGCCACAGCTTTGGGATCAATTAGAGAAGCCTAGGGACTGCTTGAACTTATGCCAATGAGCGATAGGTGTAGCATAGCAGAGCTCTCCCTTACCCCCTCCTTACCCATAGCACATCCTTTCCCATTAATTAACCATCTTCAGTATAAGCAGAAGAAAAATCTTGTCTAAAAGCATCTTAATTTTTAGAAAGAAGTTCAGATTTTATGTATTATTATCTACCAGATAACTTGGTTAATACAGAATGAATATTTCATCACTATAATAAGGATGTTGCATTTGTCAAGCAGTATTCATTTGAGATCTCCAAGTGCTGCACTGCTAACTAGCCTCAGAATTACGTGCTTGTTATGTTCACAGCACACACAGAGAGAGTTAGAAACAAAACATAAACACTCTTCCTGAAAGGCTGCAATGTAACACTGCTTTGTTTTTGAGAATCCAGAACTCTAACACACCACAGCCAAATACAGAGAGAGACAAAGCAGGCTGCTCCCTAAGGCAGCAAGGTAGAACTCTAGGCTGGCTCTTTGCAAGCTGAATGCACAGGGCTGACATTGGATGTTCACTACAGAGACCCTATAACCCCATTACTGCAAGCAGGACAAGGAAATCCCTCAAGATTTAAAGTGACAGCTGGTGATTTTTATAGTTTTCAGTACACCACAATAACCACTTTTCAAGCACCCTCTAGTTAGCCATTGCTCCAGGACCCATGGAAGAGGACTGTGGAGGAACTTTTTACTTTGACTTGCCAGGCTCCAGTTTTGATATTATTAAAATCCTTCATTAAAATATTTTGGGTCAGATCCTCATGGAGGGGGAGGGGGGGGGTGTGACAGAAAACTGGTACAACTCTTTAATTCTGAGGGTCAGTCTGCGCTGGCTGCAGCCTTGGGATCAGTTGGAGCAGCCTAGGGACTGCTTGAATTTATGCTAGTAGGAGATAGGGCGCAGCTCTATGCTACACCTACCCCCCGCCCTACCCACAACATGCCCCTTTCGTTAATGAGCCATGTTCAGTAACCAGGATACAGCCTCGACTTTCATTAGCTCAATAATAAAGTACAAAGGAGACGCATCTCACTGTGAGATTCTTTTAATTAGTCACGGTATCACCATTGTCACAGTGTCCTGCCTTCATTCTGCGCGTGTTTGCTCCAGCTCAATGGCACTTTCTCTTGCAGAGCTGTTTTTCCCGAGGGTCAGTCGCTGGAGGGTGGCTCTGGGGGTGATCCTGCCTCTCCAGGCTGTTCTCATTGTCCTGGCCGGTTACTGCTTCTGGAGGCAACACAGAGCGAAAGGTGAAGTAACAAGAGGCAGGAATTTGGGGTGTGTGTGTGAGAGAGAGATTTAAAAACCAAACCAAAAGTAAAGAGACAGGGATTAAGTGGCTTTGATTCAGTGTTCGGACGAGTTTCAGGGAGTGGGAGCCGGGCTGAGGGTGAAGAGGGAGCTGGATAAATTATGACTTCACAATTGAACCGAGAAGTGTCAAGTGATTTCACCCCTTCAGATCTCACTCAAGGATCCCAATTGAATGTGGTTCTGAACTGTTCCATGGGGATCAGCCTGGCTCAGATGGAAACACCATGTGAGGCTCAGTTAGGGTGACTAGACAGTAAGTGTAAAAAATCAGGACAAGGGTTGGGGGGTAATAGGAGCCTAAATAAGAAAAAGCCCCCAAAATCGGGACTGTCCCTATAAAAATCAGGACATCTGGTCACCCTAGGCTCAGTGAGCGGGGCTTGGAGCACCCAGACATAATTTGGCTGCTTGCAGGAAATCCAGAATGCAAAGTAGGAGGAGAGAGGGGGGCTGTGCAAATGGAAAGGTTAGCAGTTACCGTAGCTGCACTAAGATTTGCTCAGCCTGAGATCCTGCTACAGGAACAGGGCAATGAGCTCTCTAGTGTAGTATGAGTGCTCAACTGTCATTTTTCCTCTAGTCACAAGGGGCAGAAATTGGCTTTCAGTGATCTGTGTGTTCACACGGAGCTGGGGTTTTCAAAGCTTCCTAAGGGGTCTGAAAAATACTCAATTTTTCTTTAAATTAATGGGCACCAAATGTGCAAACCTCCAAGGCAGCTGTGAAAGTCCTACCTGGAGGGTTTTCTCACCTGAAGGGCTGTGAACTTTATGTAGAAATTTCCAGGTGTCGGAAGAACTGGGAAGGGGAAATGTCTGTTAGAATGATTTCCCAGTGAGGACGGAAGCAGGTAATTCAGAGAAGCAGAAAGGAGCTGTGCTTTTGTCTTGTGAAAGTTGGAACTGGATGCTGTACATTTAGAACTGCCACCTGCACACTTGGTCAGCAGCACCAGGTGTGAACTGGTTTAGTCAATGGTTTTAACAGATGTGGGCTGAGCCCATGTTTAGGTGACAGGGACAGGGCCGGCTCCAGGGTTTTGGCCGCCCCAAGCAGCCAAACAAACCAACAAAAAAGCCACGATTGCGATCTGCGGCCCCTTATTCCGAGCAGGAGTGAGGGACCGTCCGCCGAATTGCCGCCGAACAGCTGGACGTGCCGCCCCTCTCCAAAGAGGCCGCCCCAAGCACCTGCTTGGTAAGCTGGTGCCAGGAGCCGGCCCTGGACAGGGATTCACTCATTTTGAGTCCTATGTACAATTTGTCTGTGTGCCCAGAGAGAGCTAGGTTGGGCTCATTTCCAAGCATTAAAAAGGCAGAACAATGAACTGTCGCTGTCTTGTTCCCTGGGCCTTTCAGAGAATTCTCCGCACCAGCTGCACTGGTGAGCTGTGTGGCTAGGCTGCTGTAATAACACAAATGCACTCAGGACTTGCACGGCTGGTCTGAGACGCTGCTCACACCCGGCACAAGATGGTCTCGCTCAGGCTGTGCTCAGCAGTGACTGGCAGACATGACACTACCTCCATTTCCAGCAGTGCTGGTACCCCAGGGCTGATGCACCAAAGGGACGAGCTCCCAGCGGGACAGAGCTGATCTTAGAGGTGATGCCTGTAGGGGCCCATCCACTCCCTGGTTCCTGCTGACCTGAGCACCCAGCTCCACCCCATTCTTAGCTGGGACACTCCCCATCTACCCAGGCCCTAGGAGGAGCTGTTCCCATGTATCACTAAAATCAGGGGACAGGCACCACCCACAAGATCAGGAGTTGGCCTGGGATGAGGGTGCAGGAACCTCCACAGACAGACCTATCTGTGTCTCTCCATTTGTTTCTCTATTTCATAACTACAGCAGAGCTGCATTAAACAATAATAGCAACTTCACCATTAATGTGATGGAATGAAATCTCACCTCTCGCCCTTTTCTCTGTCTAGAGACACTGCGATCTAAACTGGAGAGTGAGAAAGGTCAGTGACTGGGCCAGTTACATTCACTGATGTAAGGATTATTCCCATAAATATGACGGGGGGGAATCTCACCTCTCGCCCTTTTCCCCCCTAGAGCAGTTGTTTTCAACCTGTGGTCCATGAACCCCAGTGGATTTGCAGACTATGTCTAAGGCCTGGTCTACACTAGGCTTTTATGTCGACTTTAGCGCCGTTATATCGAATTAACCCTGCACCCGTCCACACCAGGAAGCCATTTAGTTCGACATAAAGCTCTCTTTAAATCGATTTCTGTAATCCTCCCCAACGAGAGGATTAGCGCTAAATTCGACATGGCCATATCGAATTAGGCTAGGTGTGGATGGAAATCGACGGTAATAGCTCCGGGAGCTATCCCACAGTGCACCACTCTGTTGACGCTCTGGACAGCAGTCCGAGCTCGGATGCTCTGACCAGCCACACCCCCGGGAAAATTTGAATTCATTTTCATTTTCCTGTCTGGGCAGTTTGAATCTCAGTTCCTCTTTGGACATCGAGGGGAGCTCAGCAGCAGTGGCAACTATGCAGAGCTCTCCAGCAGAGATGGCCGTGCAATCTAATAGAAAGAGGGCCCCAGCATGGACTGATCGGGAAGTCTTGGATCTCATCGCAGTGTGGGGCGATGAGTCCGTGCTTTCAGAGCTGCGCTCCAAAAGAAGGAATGCTAAGATCTACGAGAAGATCTCCAAAGCCATGGCAGAGAGAGGCTACAGCCGGGATGCAACGCAGTGCCGCGTGAAAATCAAGGAGCTGAGACAAGGCTACCAAAAAACCAAAGAGGCTAACGGACGCTCCGGATCCCAGCCCCACACATCCCGTTTCTACGAGGCACTGCATTCCATCCTGGGAGCGGCCGCCACCACTACCCCACCCCTGACCGTGGACTCCGAGGATGGGATCATGTCCGCGGCCGGTTCCTCGTCGGACATGACAGCGGACGGGGAAGATGAAGAAGGAGATGAGGAGGACGAGGCAGTCGACAGCGCTGGCACCGCTGATTTCCCCGACAGCCAGGAGCTCTTCATCACCCTTACCGAGATCCCGTACCAACCGTCCCCATCCCTTACCCCGGACACAGAATCAGGGGAAGGATCAAGCAGTAAGTGCTGTAAACATGTAAACATTTATTTAAAACAGAACGGTAATATTTATACTATTAACAATGTACATTTATAAAAGTTCTGTAAACTAGTAAAAAAATAATCAGGTACAAAACAGGAATATTTACAAAGGTAACAAATGGGTTTTCATGATTTCTCTGTCTTAGGCTCTTCTCAATTTAGTCCCAAGTGTTTTAAAAAATTTTCACAATGTCCGTTACTCCATGATTCCCAGGCCCAAGACGCTCCACTCCATAGTCCCAGTGCACCTACGCGAAAATCCGGTCAATGTGGCCGGGGATCGACGAGAAATCCTCGTAGGAGAACTCCTCGTAGGTCTCGTGGAGGTAGAGCTCAAGCCTGTTGATCAGGTTCCGGGGTAGGGTGATCTTAGTGGGCCCTCCGTGGTAGCAGACATGCCCCCTCCACGCCACAATCAAGTACTCCGGGATCATGGCCCGACATAGCATGGCGGCATACGGCCCCGGTTTCTGCATGCTTTCCCGCAGCATGCGTTCTCTCTGGGTGTCCGGGATCCTCAGAAGGGTGATGTCGCTCATGATGCCCTGCTTTGAATTAGGGAGGGGAATGTTAGTATTGGGACTGCTTTACAGCCACGCGGTGGAGGGAGAGGGGCAGCATACAGGGATCTTTCCCTGGGACAGCCGCGAGGGGGTGGGACAGGGGCAGAGTTGATGCTGTCCTGATTGCTGGCAGCAGAGACTGGCATTGCTTTCAATGTGAAAGGAGGCCAGTGCTACTGCTGGAGTTTTAAGCAGCCACAAGTCTGCGGCTTACCATTATTGCCCGCTCCAGAAGTTCAGGTCTCCAGCCACGCTTCTCAGATCACTCCAAGACCTCCGCAAGTCCACAGGCACTGAAGGCGACGGCCGAAAATTCGACCTTGTCCTGAGTGCGCATGTGAGAGGTGCAGTGCATGGTCTTGTTCACAGAGAAAGACTAGGTTCTTTGTATACAATTTCATTTATCTGTCTCAGGAATTCACTCCCTTTTCACAATTCACACAGACACATCTGCGACTGTCTCCCAACCCAGCCTGTCAGCACACTCCCAGAGGCTAGCGCAGATTAGGCGGAGGAAGAAGAAGACGCGTGAAGACATGTTCTCAGAACTAATGGGATGCTCCCGAGCCCAGGCAGCCCAGCAGACACAGTGGAGGGAGAACTTGTCACAAATGCACCGAGCAGTCATGGAACGGGAGGAGAGGTGGCGTCAGGAGGACCAACAGGCTACTGAAAAGCTGCTTGGACTAATGAGGGAGCAAACGGACACGCTCCGGCGCCTTGTGGATGTTCTGCAAGACCGGAGGCAGGAGGACAGAGCCCCGCTGCAGTCTATCTGTAACCGCCCTCACCCGCCACCAAGTCCCACACCACCCTCACCCAAACTCCAAAGAAGGAGGGGCGGCAAGGGCCGTTAAAACTTTCAGTCAACCCCTGCAGACTGCTCTAGCACTAGAAGGCTGACATTCCCCAAAATTTCATAAGTCCTTTCCTACCTACCTCACACAAGCCCCCGTCCAAGTTTCACCCCCCACGTTTCATGTCTGGTTCGCAATAAAATGTTTGTTTCTCTCCATTACTGTTTCAGTCAGGTTCTTTTGAGGGAGAGTCTGTCTGGGGGGGGGGAAGGGGCTTGGTAATTGGGCAGGACAGTGACCTTTAGCAGGGTACAGAGGCGGTGTCAGGTCCAGCATCAGGACACATACACAGTGCAGTCACTGGTTACCCTGGTCAGTCTGGGAGGTGTTTTTCATGTTCTCCATTGAAATAACCAGTCCACCAGTGCGGAGCCTGGCATTCCGGGAGTTTAGAAGCATCATTTGCATCAGAACACTGAACCCGCCCCCCGCCACAGTCTGCGTCCCCGGTTTAAAATATTCCCGCGAAAACAGCAACACAGACAACGGTGTTCATTAACAAAATCGAAATGATTTTATTTTTTGGGAAGGGGAAGGGGGTGAAGGGGGTATGTAACTGGAGAGGATAGTCAAAATGAACTGGGTAAAGAAACGGGGGCAGGTTCAGCTTTTCTGTCCACAAACTGAAAAGTCACTGGTTGCCCTGCTCACTCAGGAACCTAGCTTTCAAAGCCTCCCGGATGCACAGGGCGTCCCGCTGGGATCTTCTAATGGCCCGGCTGTCTGGCTGGACGTAATCAGCAGCCAGGCTATTTGCCTCAACCTCCCACCCCGCCATAAAGGTCTCCCCCTTGCTCTCACACAGATTGTGGAGCACACAGCAAGCTGCAATAACGATGGGGATATTGGTTTCACTGAGATCACAGCGAGTCAGTAAGCTTCTCCATCTCCCTTTGAGACGGCCAAAAGCACACTCCACTACCATTCTGCACTTGCTCAGCCGGTAGTTGAACAGTTCTTTTTCTGTGTCCAGGGCGCCAGTATAGGGCTTCATGAGCCAGGGCATTAGCGGGTAGGCTGGGTCCCCGAGGATGACTGTAGGCATCTCCACATCCCCAAGAGTTATTTTGTGGTCTGGGAAGTAAATACCTTCCTGCAGCCGTCTAAACAGACCAGAGTTCCTGAACACGCGAGCGTCATGAACCTTGCCCGGCCATCCGACGTAGATGTTTGTAAACCGTCCCCGATGGTCCACCAGTGCTTGCAGCACCATTGAAAAGTAGCCCTTTCTATTGATGTACTGGCTGGCCTGGTGGTCCGGTCCCAGGATAGGGATGTGAGTCCCATCGATAGCCCCACCGCAGTTTGGGAATCCCATCGCGGCAAAGCCATCTATGATGACCTGCGCGTTTCCCAGGGTCACTACCTTTGGGAGCAGTACCTTCACGATTGCCTTGGCTACTTGCATGACAACAACCCCCACGGTAGATTTGCCCACACCAAAGTGGTTCGCGACTGACCGGTAGCTGTCCGGCGTTGCAAGCTTCCAGAGGGCTATGGCCACTCGCTTCTGGACAGTGAGGGCTGCTCGCATGCGGGTGTCCTTGCGCTTCAGGGCAGGGGACAGCAACTCACAAAGTTCGAGGAAAGTCCCCTTCCGCATGCGAAAGTTTCGCAGCCACTGGGATTCATCCCAGACCTGAAGCACTATACGGTCCCACCAGTCCGTGCTTGTTTCCCGGGCCCAGAATCGCCGTTCAACAAAATCCACATGCCCCATTGCCACCGTGATGTCCTGGGCGCTGGGGCTCGTGGTTTCTGACAGCTCTGTGCCACTCTCCGACTTCAGGCTCTCACGGCGGTGCCGTAGCCTCCTCGCCCGATTTCTCTGCATCTGCCTCAGGGAAAGGTGTATGATAAGCTGCGAGGTGTTGAGAACGGCCACAAGTGCAGCGATGGTCGCAGCGTGATCCATGATCGCAGTGCTGTGGCGTCCGCGCTGTCACTGACCAGAAAAGTGCGCGAACTGATTTCCCGCCGGCGCTTTCATGGAGGGAGGGAGGGCGTTAGTGACAGACGGATGACGACAAATTTTTTTTACCCAGAAGGCATTGGCGGCTCGACCCAGAATTCCGATGGGCAGCGGGGACTGCGGGAACTGTGGGATAGCTGCCCACAGTGCACCGCTTCCAATATCGACGCTCGCCCCGTTAGTGTGGACTCACAAAGTCGAATTACTGTCCTTAGTGTGTCCTTAGTGTGGACACACACGTTCGACTTTGCAATATCGATTCCACATATTCGATTTAAGTAAAATCGAATTACCCTCGTAGTGTAGACATACCCTAAGATTTCCAAAAGGGTCTGTGCCACCATTCAAAATTTTGTAGGGGTCTGCAAATGAAAAAAGGTTGAAAACCACTGCCAGAGAGACCCTGAAATCTTAACTGGAAAGTGAGCAAGGTCAGTGTGTGGGGCCAATGGGGTGGGATAATGTTTATATGAGAAT